GGGTGCCCCCCCAGCCTATACAGGGCCTGCTGCCCCCTCTGCTCCTGGCAAGCTCCATTCCCCTCAGCCTGCTCAGAATACACTGCTTCCTGAAAGCCTTCTCGCTGCGTAGGTGCTGGGTTTTGCCAGTTTGTCAGTTTGATGATGATGCTGCTTGGGAGTGTTTTTGCTCTAGCTGGGCTGCTTTGCACTGTCAGACTCACATCCCGAATGGCTGTGCTTCCTCACAGGGTGTTATGTGCCAGGGAAGCATCACCTGCGGTGTCGCCTAAGCCTCAGACAAAGTAGAACCTGAACACAGCCTCCAGGCCTTTCTGTTGCAGTGTGTGATGAAGCCTCACCCAGCCCTGGCTGGATCCAGTGTCTCTCTGGACGCTGTTTTGATTTAATCTGACTGATTGGCTCTGGCTGTTGTCCCCGCACAGCTGGTAGTGTGGGGCAGCCCCTGGGCGGGCTGTCCAGTTGCACATGGGACGTGCACTTTCTCCCTTGGGTGCTGCAGAGCTGGGCCTGCTGAGCCGCACAGCCACCGTGGGGTGGCATCTGGCGTGCAAGGCCTGCTGTTGAGTGGTGGGGTGGCACCTTGGCACACAGGGGGTATTCTTTGGCTTTGAGCCATGGGGTTAGTCAAAGGCTGTGCTTTGAAGCTGCAGCCCCCATCTCCCCGGTGACAGAGCTGCACTGACGTGGGTGATGTTCATCCCACGTCTCATGGACCGATGGTTCATTGCCTGCACCCGTTGACTTGCCGTGCCGGCGTGTTTGTCCTGTCACTGCTGCAGCTGCTGCTGGGAGCAGCGGGACAAATACTGGCAGCGTTTGTGATGGGGAAGCAGTGCCAGCATGCGGCTCTGCAATGGGGTTTCATGGGCCTCCTGCCTGCTCTGCCTCCGTAGCACCATTGCTCCAGCAGCAGTAGCTAGGTCTCTCTTCTATCAAGGTCTTACTTGTGTAGATGTATTCCTAGGTTGCTCTGTCTTTATCATAGCTATCAGCAGATGATGAAGGTATGCTGGAGCGTTTGAGAGATATCGCTGCTTAGTGCAGAAGCATGGTGGCTGAGGTCAGTGGAAGCTAGCTGGCTGGCCTTCAGCCTGATCCGTGTAATCAAAGGTCTTTGCTCACCATTGCCAACCAACAGCAGTGGATGCAAAACTCGTGGCTTGTAAGGTCATAAACATTTCTCAGATCTCCCAGGGACCAGTCATCTCTTTACTGAGAGGGATGATAAGAAAGTGTTTCAAGACCTCCTCCACACTCTTCACAAATTGTCTCAGGTTTTTTTCTACCACAGGGAAGTCTGGGTGTTCAGCAGCTTTCACATAGTGACTCACGAAGCGACTGGCTGACTGCGTGTTGACTCGCTCTAAAACCACCATAGGGGTGACAGCCATTGCTAGAATGTACATTTGGCCTCAGCTGAAAGAGAAGGGACATTGCTGACCCATCAGGAGATAGCACAGACCCTGTGCACATTGCTTTCCCGTGGTCTTTCCCCTCTGATTCCACAGCTGAGATGGGCTGAGGTGATGCCTTTTCTCACACCCCATGCATGCATCAGGAGACTGAGGGGTCAGGGAATGCTGCTCCAGGTGCTGATGGCAACGGTGCCATCCCAGGACGGCCATGAGTGCTTCTCTTGCTAGGATACCGTGCAGCCTGGCAAACCATGTCAGTAACTTCTTGCTGGAGAGAGGACCGGCTTCAGCAGGGTTGATGAAACGTAGGCTCTTTTGGAATACGGCATAGCTTGGGAAGTAACAGCTCTGGGATCCGTCCCTGCAGCCCAGCAGAATCTGGATGCTGAGTCTGCCTAGGAGAGAAAGATGTGGGGATTACCCACCCAGCTCCTGTTGGGCCTGGTCTCAGCCAGATGCCAGCAATGTTCTACCTGTATTAATCCCATATATAGATGAGTGCAACAAGTACAGACTACTATAAAATACAAGGTTCTGTGTAAGATACATCTCATAGTCAACGATGCCAGTGGATCACTAGAGGGAAAAGGGAACTTCTGGAGGCAACAACGCGTTAACCAGTCAACAAACAGAGTAGTTCCCACCCATCTAAGGAAGAGAAATTTGCATCTCCAAGGGAGGGAAGCAGTCCTTGTTTTAATGAAGACAAATGGCCAGGCTATCTGCTGGACAAAGAATAAGTACTCTGGGATTCAGAGTAAAAGCTGAAATCTCACTGAACCCCCTTCAGAGGGCTCAGGAAGGGGCCTTCCCCAGCCAAGGGGCTTCCCAGAGCCGTGGGATGAGCGCACGCTGCAGTGCGGGTGTAGGAGCTCTCCTTAACAGGTGCAATGAGGCGCAAGGTGTGCTCGGAGAGGTGCAAGGTGTGCTCAGAGGAGGGAGCTCTGCGTAGCATCCTGCCGGGAGAGGACACCACTTCAGAGCCATAGGAGAGTCAGAAGGAACTCTCTGGTTATTTTTAGTCTAAGTGGTTTAACTGTGGTTTTCTTCTTTTTTTTTTTCACTTCTGTCTTTCACAAGTGTCTGTAACTGCTTTGCTGAAACTAGATATGTGCATAAAGTACTTTGTTAGAATTGTACCTTGACACAGCTGCACTGGAAGGTGACTTTAAGGCAACTCAGATAACAGCAAGGCGCTGCTCACCGAAGGCTATGGCTGTGTTTTGGCTGGGGGAGCTCAGCCAGTGCCCTGCCTGCTGCCAGGGCCCTCTGCTGCATGGAGCAGGCGTGGAGCTCGCACTGGAGGGGTGGACCCACTGATGTGCAGCAAAACACTGTCACACGTACTTGGTCTGTAAGGGTTTCCAGGGACCTTGTTACACTGAGTTACCCTGAAAAATTAGTTTTTCTTCTCCATTTGGAGCCTTCTGTCAGAGAGGACTTCAGTTTTCAGTCCCAAAGTGGAAGGAGGCTCTGACTTCAGAGCAGTCTGGGTGCGTCCCTGTGCATGTCTCCTGTCTCCTGT